TTAGGAATGATATGCAAGAACTCAATTGTAAACCTTGGCTTTCAGGAGCTAACAGTTTGAAAATTCTGAAGGAATAGATTTTCAAATTATATTTTATCAATTTGGAATCAAAAAGTATCTAAAGAAATTGTATGCCACATCTTTTTTTATAAACAAGAAAACTAAAGGTCAGAGGAAAAAAAGTACTTTTTAAAAATTCCATCACTATTTTCTAGTAAGGTTTCTTGCACCTTACAACCTGCAAAGCAAGAGGTGTACAAAAGATCGTAGTGAAAACTAAGGAATAAAATTTTGAAATTAACTTTATCCCTAAAGTCTTTTCTTCATCGGTACAAATGCGGTTCTGATCATTGGATTGGGCTGAAGATGACAAAAAATCAAACAGGACAATGGGTAAATGGAAGCATATTTTCCAAATGGTGAGTTTTTTTCTTTCTGAGATTACTTAAATTTAGATAGTGCAATGTTCTGTAGGACCTGGGCATTAGCTAAATTTCACTAGAGCTCTAGATTTTTGTGCATGTTAGAAAGGTGAAGTGGGAAATTGTATCATTTATTGAGATTCATTCCAAGAGTCAACCATAAAGATTGCAAGAGCAGATCTTCTAGTTGGCTATTTTGAATATAAAGACCTGAGATTTATATATGTATAGCTACCCTCAAATTAAACTTTTGCCTAATTTTAAACTATCTTTAGCAATTCTACATCTCTTCCACAAGCATCATGTTTCCTGTGTTCTGATATCTTTTACAGTTCAAGATCAATTTGATGTTCATTTTAACATGGTTTTATTTGCAATTGCACTATTGTGCAGTTTGTCCTGGGCTTCATATCTTCTGTGTTATAAAACTGAAACTCTGCATACACACCTGAAATAGTGGCTCTTAGTGACTTAGCTGCTTAGCTCATATTAGAGTTTCCCAACAGCAGCACTACCGACATTTTGTACTGAGTACTTCTTTGCTGCGTGAATGGGGCAATTTTTAGTGTATTGTAGGATGTTGCAGCAACCCTCTATCCACTAGCTGATAGTAACTATTCACCCCATCAGACCCTTGCCTCCAGTTGTGACAATCAAAAATTTCTCCAGACATCTCCTCTATTGCCAAGTGTCCCTTGGGGGGGAGAGGATCAAAATCTCCCCTAGTTGAGAACCATTGGTTTATATGAATTGGTCCCTCTGCTAAATACATGTAAATGACTTAATGTCAATTTAACAAATACAAATTATTGTAAAAGAGCCTCTTTCGATCCAACTTAGTATAGGTATCTCAACCCTCGCAGGAGAGCTTTGTATCACAGTATACATTTTCAGATCTTTGGACAGATAGGATTTTTGTTTAAAGGTGTCACTGGACAAGGAAGAAATCACATGACTCCCTAGTACATAATGGCTATTTCTTTTATTGCAGGTTTAATGTGAAAGGGAGTGAAGAATGTGCTTACCTTAATGATAATGGTGCTGGAACAGCTCGGTGCTACACAGAAAGAAAATGGATTTGTAGGAAAAATATACACTAACTTGAAGATGGGAGAGACAGAAGATAAAATTATGAAAGACAAATAAAAGCAAACTATTTATACAAAGAAACAGATTCATTTTTATATCAGTCTAGGTAATTAATGTTTGTGAATCAGGTTAGAGCATACATTCAATCATCAGTTCAAAGATTGGTGAAAATGATAACAGGTATTCTGCTGAGGTTAGTGAAACAGAGTAGTTGCCCCTCCTCCCATATATATGGAAACCACATGCAGGAGAATGAAACAAAACCCCTACTACCTGTCACCATTCACAAAAATTAATTCAACATGGATAAAGGACTTAGATTTAAAGCATGAAACCATAGGAATTCTAGAAGAAAATGTAGAAAAAACTCTTCTAGATGTCAGCTTTGGCAAATAATCTATGAAAAAGACCCCAGTGACAATCATGGCATCAATAAAGATTAATAAATGGAATTTGATAAAACTGGAAACCTTTTGAACAGCCAAGGAAGCAATCAACAAAGCAAATGACAACCTACAAAATGGGAGAAAGTATTTGCAAGCTACACATCTAATAAAGGGCTAATAACCAGAATTCACAAAGAACTCAAGCAAATCGTCAAGAAAAAAGTGGACAAAAGACATGAACAGATACTTCTCAAAGGAAGAAACAAATGGCCAAGAAACATATAAAAAATGCTTAACATTACTAATCCTTAGGGAAATACAAATTAAAACCCCAATGAGATGTCACCTTGCCCCAGTTAGAATGGCTTATATTAAAAAGTCCAAAAACAATAGATGCTGGCATGAACACAGAAAGAAAGGAACATTTCTTCACTGCTGGTGGGACTGCAAACTAGTACAACCTCTTTAGAAAACAGTATGGAGATTACTCAAAGAACTAAAAGTAGACCTACCATTCGATCCAGCAATTCCACTACCAAGTACTGACCCAAAGAAAAAAAGACATTTTGTAAAAAAGACACTTGCACTTGAATGTTTATGGCACCACAACTCACAATTGCAAAGATGTGAAATCAACCCAAGTGCCTGTTACCAAAACTCAGCACAAGTCCACAAGGCCGAATCAGAAGAACAAGAACAAGTTGCTGAAGAGAAGGAAAGTGATTTATTCCTTTGCAAGCAAAGGGAGAAGAAACACAGGCTATCATTCCAAAATCCAATTTTTCTTCCCTGATAAGCAAAAATACAGAGCTTTTAAAGGGGAGGATTTTCAGCTTCAGAGTGTTGTTGTCAACTACTGGTGGTGGTCTGATCCTTCCATCTCCAGAATCTGTTGGGACTCCCCGCCAGTCTGGAGCTGGGCTGAGTTGCCCAGGATCTCTTGGGAGTGCCTCCTGATTCTCTGTATCTCCTGCAATGCAAAGAATCAAAGAAACACTCCCCTGGTTCACCCAGCCACTGGTCTTAGGCAGGAAAGTGGGTCTTAGTGAGAAACAGAATATATATTCTAAAGGGTGAGGGGATTTTACAAAGAAAACACTCCAGCCACCGGCCTCAGGCAGGGAAGCCAGTTTCAGTGAAAGATAGAATACACATTTTTTTTCTATGCCTTCCTCTCTCTTACATGCCGATCAATGCATGAGTGGATTAATAAATTGTGGTATATTTATACCATGGAGCACTACTCAGCCATAAAAATAATGGCAATCTAGTATCTTTTGTAACAACCTGGGTGGACCTGGAGACTATTCTTCTTAGGGAAGTATCACAAGAATGTAAAAACAAACACCACATGTACTCAATATCAAATTGAAACTAATTGAGCAACACTTAAGTGTACGTATGGAAGTAAAATCCAAGGAAAACCAAGTAAGTGGGAGGGGGAAGGGAGGATGGGTAAATTCACACCTAACAGGTACAATGCACACTAACTGGCTGAAGGGCACACTTACAACTTTGATTCAAACTACAAACACAAATTATGTAACCAAAATTTGTGTACCCCTGTAAAATTCTGAAAAATAAATAAATAATAAAAAATAGAAATAAAAACAAGAACAAAATAAAAATAAAAAAATAAAATTTAAAGCCAAAAACATTCATAAGTTGATTAATAAAATGTACGACATGGAGTACAACTCAGCCATAAAAGAAGATGAATTAATACCTTTTACAACAATCTGGATGGAACTGGGGAGCCTTTTCCTAAGTGAAGTATCTCAAGAATACTTCAAATACCACATGTACTCACTATTAAATTGGAACTAACCAAGAATTGAAAATTGGAGTGGGCAACAAGACAGAGGACCAGAGACACCACCAGCAGGGTGTCTCTGTAAGAAGGAGAAGTTTTAGATAAAAGAGAAAAAAACAGACAGACAAACATAGATTAGATGAAGTTCTGAAGGAAGGGTGCCTGAATCTACAGGACACTCCACAAGAAGAAGTTGCAGGGCAGAACTGGAAGGAGAAAGGCATCAGTGTGAATTAAACCCCAAGAGGCTTGGAGACCAGCAAGAAGGGTAGATGGAGCATCTCAGACAGTTGCTGGGCTTCCGAGCTGCTGGAGAGACCTTCTGCCAGCACGAGCCCAGAGACTGCTGCCACAAGTGAGTGGATAGCTTCTTGCATGCAGGGCACCAGGCTCCCAACACCTCCAGGGCACCTCCCACCCAACAGGTGCCACATTGCTTCTCAGCCCACCGGGTGCCTTTGTTTACCCCAGGGGGCCTCAACCCCTCAGGTTTCATCTTGCTCCTTCCCATACAGACATTTCCCAACTCCTGCCCAGACTACAGGAGCCACAGGGGGTAAGTGGATCCTGGGTGATCTTCATGACTACAGAGCCTGGTCATTCTGGCTGCACTGCCTCCCAGAGAGAGTCAGAGATGACCAGAATGCAAACTTTCCCCCATCTAGACTCTTTTTCTCCTTTTTCCTTCCCACACCCATGGCTGCTGAGAGGGACAATTGAGCCACAACATAGAGGTTTTCACAAGGAAAAGGGCATGGACCTTTACTTTCGGGGTCCTGCAGGGACTAAGGGGAGAACAGACTATGAGCTACCTGCCCACTGGTCCTCCCTGGTGCTGCTTGCCTAGTAACTCCAGCAGAGCAGAGCACACCCCAAGGTGGAGGGACATTGAACCAGGTTGAGCACCATATTGGTGACTTGGGACCAGCATCCTTCTCCCTAGCATGGTCAAGGATTGATCTCAGGGGCCCGCAAGCCAGATGCCATACCCCTAGGCCTCAATCGCATGGTCCCAGGGTACAGAGGGGATATTTGCAAATTAGTCTTAAGAGGTGTGGGTATCTGCAGGGTCAAACCAAGGGTGAGAGTACAGAATGGAGCCATGTTCCCAATTTGGGCTGGGTCCCTGGGTGGGAAACCTCCAAGCCCACATCACAGTTGTGCAGGAGCTTGGCTGGCTTGAAGTCCTGCTGTAGGCAGTGGTCTGGGGAAACCATGGAATAAGGGTATATGGAAAGGAGTGAGGCCTGCTCCAGACTGCCTGACTAGGGTCACAGACAACCCTGCCTCCACATTCAGACTTTCTGGTTGAGTGGAACCACTTCAGCCACTATCTGGAAACATTGCCCAGGGGTGGGTTACAGACCTTTGACCCCCACTAAAAGCATTTGTGAAGCTTCAGGGAAGACTCAGCCAACACAGCCATGCCAAGCCTTAGTCCCCCACTGGACAATGCTGAGGTGGAAATAAGGACACACCTCGAAGTCCCAAGACCCCACCTATTGTCTGGGGCATTAGGGTGCTTCTACTGGTCACAGGATCCAAAAACAACATTGCAAATTATTCCTTCTAGCAAGCACCACCTACTGAGAGGGTAGTCAATTTGCACATCCTTTTATTGCATTGACTGACTCATCATACAGGATGTGGTCAATTGTCACCCACAAGCATCACATACTGGCTGATATTAAACTAGGCATGTCATTATCTAAACAAAGGAAAATCCAAAAGTAAGAAGCAAAAGCTATTCCAGAGGAGAAGGAATCAGTGAAAGAACTCCAAAAGTATGAAGAAGGAAAGTGAAAGGACACCCCTAAATGGGAGCAGCACCTCTATAGCAGTGGATACTAATCAAAATCAGAGTATTGAAATGACAGATGAAGAATTGTGAACATGGATTGTAAGGAATCTCAATGAAATGCAAGATAAAATGGAAACCTAACACAAAGAAACCACAAAAACAACGCAGGAAATGGTTGAAAAATTCGCTAAAAAATTCAATTATTAAAGAAAAATAAAGCAAGCTTCTGGAAATGAAAAATTCATTCAAGGAATTACAAAACCACAGTGGAAAGCCTTAAGAATAGGTTAGACTGAGTAGAAGAAAGAATCTCAGAGCTTGAAGAGAACACTATTTGATTCAACAAGTCAGTCATAGAGACAGAGCAGAGAGATAACAGGAATGAGCAAAGTGTACAAGAAATATCAGCTTATGTAAAGAGGCCTAACATAAGAATCATAGGCATCCCTGAGGATGAAGAAGAAAGTACACAAGGGTTAGATAATCTGTTTGAGAGAATAATGGAAGAAAATTTCCCTGGCCTTGCTAGAAATCTAGATATCCAAGTAGAAGAAACTCAAAGGACTCCTGGGAGATTCATCACAAAGAGGAAAACATCAAGACACACAGTCATCAGACTGGCCAAAATAAACATGAAAGAGGTGCTCCTATGAGGTGTAAGGCAAAAGCACCAGGTAACTTACAAAGAAAAACTTATCAGACTAACTGAAGACTTCTCAACTGACCTTACAAGCCAGAAAGGACTGGGGCCCCATTTTCACTCTTCTCAAAAATAATGCCCAGCCTAGAATTTTGTATCCTGCAAAACTGAGTTTTATATATGGGGGAAACAAAATCTTTCTCACACAAGCAAATAAAGAGGGAATTTGTCAAGACATCACCTACCATGCAAGAAGTACTGAGAACTTCATTATATGTGAAATCAGCACAATAGGCACTCACCAGTGTAAAATCACACAAAAGCTAAAGGTCAAAGACAAGATACCACAATGGCTCAAGAGGTAAAACAAAACAAAAAAGTTATACTCAACAGGATGAACAAATA